TGTGCCCAGTGCACCTCCCGTCGAATGCAGCTCCAATCTTCTGAGCATCCCACCGGAAAGTCTGGCACATCACCGTTGACGACCACGACAATGATTGCCACGCTGGACATATTCATCGCAAGACCCAGGATATCTGCTAGCTCAGCCTTGCTGACGGAGCCCACAAAGATGTCCTTCATGTCGGGCCCAACATCTGGCAAGCGGTGTGGGTCTTCACTCAGGGCTGGCACACACTTCGGATTCGTCCACTTCCCATGGTACCTTGCCCGTGCAAGACAGATGATCTCTTCTGGCAGTGTCGCCACATTGAAAATGCCAACGCTCTTTCCAAGCAAGCACATGATTGGATTAACTGAGGAGCCATACCAAAGGGCCCGAGCTCTGTCTGGGAGTTCAGACACAGGGCTAGATGACTGGGCAGCCATATCAAGAGTCCAGGTCAGTCCAGGTCAAAATCTTGAGAATCAAAAGGCCACTGAATAGGAACAGGATAGCTGCATAGCTTAGCGCACGTCCGCTCTATCAGCTCATGCCATGTCAAAACCTACAGGCAAGTTGGGGATGGATCAACATAAGCTGATTGGGCCAGGGCTCATCGACCATCTCGACTCTCCGACCTGGCAAGCACATGAGGTGGCTCGAAGCTGAGTGCATGCTGGCTACAACTCCTGTCCCATATATGATTGTGTTTCTTTCGGGGGGATTATCCTTCCTGGTCCTGCTGATAAAGAACACGAAGAGACGAATCGAAACTGAAGGCAATTTGCAGCGAGGCTTTTCATCTTGTTTGGAGTTCTGGCTTTTTTCGGCAGCCATGGCACATGAATCAGGCATGCCTTGCAAGTGGAATGCCCATGTCAAGCAAAATCGCAAAGGCAAAGAGCCTTTGGGCAGCCTGTTGCAAAGCCTGCAAATTGTGTCCAACCTTCTTTCCTTACTTACTGTTACTGCGGGTCCCGGGGAGCTCTTATTCATTTCATACACCCATTGCAACCGGCCACATGCCCAACTACTGCTCTTAGCTCTGCCTAGCAGCTATCCAGCGACCCACGACCGGAAGCAAGACACGGGTTAGCTGGGTAAATGACATGGCATTACCGGCCATGGATCTCAGGTCGGAGTCAGAGACCCCCACACAGTGCTTATTATCCATATTCTGTCCCAACATAGCCATCATGCCCTTGCCGCTCAAGATTCTGAAGCTGTCCAGGTCCACCAATCTACTGGAGGTACACAAAGTCCCCCATTGGCCAGTGATGTGGACAGGGCCCCGGTTGGCCGACTGACTGATATCTGCGCAAGTGAAGAGGCTCTCTGGAGACATGGATGATTCTTCCGCCAGTTCCTTCTTCAGGGCACTGGCAATGAGAGCGCACACATCCAAGCTTGCTTTCTGCCAAGGCGTCAAGAACTCCATGCCTTTGCCCTTCGTGGAGCTAGCTCTTTCTGCCAAGGAGACAACCGCCTGTTCTGCAGTCAGCCGTTTCGCCTTGATTGCCTGCTCCACGGCACAGGCATAATGCTTGGCATACTCTTTCTCTGTCTTCCACACTTCGGGAGTCCAGGTAGTCTTGTTGCTGAAGCTCTCGCCGTAGGCATCAAAGTAGCATCGAAGGTGATGCCGGGGCGCCTCTGCATCTTCTGAACGAAGAATGTCAGCTTTCCATGCTTCAGCACTGTAGCCATCTTGTCGGGACCCAAGGATCCAGACTCGCGGCCTCTCCTCCGGCAATGGCCGGCTTGTAAGATCAACAGTGCTCACAGAGTAGCCTGGCAAATTACGAAGCTCCGAGATGTAAAACTGTAAAGGGTTTGCATGCGGCAGCTTTTCCTCGACCTGCCCCTTGTCCATCTCATTTGAGGTTCCAGGAGCAGCATCCGAAGACAAATTTCTCGCCATCCTCAGCACCAACTATGGAGAAAGTTATGTGTTCTATCTCCGGCCGCAATACAAAGCAAAGATGAATGGGCTCTGTGCTACTAAGCCCGTGGCCTGCACCCTTGCGCATTCTCCAACATAAAATGCGAGGGACGGTGCTTGGCCAGCACGCCAAGCATTGTTTGGAAGGTGCACCGGGACTCGGCGGTAGCCATCAAAGGGTCACACATGAACCGCTGTGGGTTCCTGAGCAGAATCGGTGGAACAGCAAGTGTGTGTATAGGCACAAAGCCCTCCAGGCGGCCGTACGACCAAACTGCTGTCCAAATTGCTGCACGCTATTGCTTTTGCACACGAACCCACCCAGGAAGAAGCAAGTTTCTTTACTGCAGATCGGAACCTCGCAGGACCTGCCATGCATGTAGCACTTGCCGGCATCGCAAGCGAGGCTTGCAGCATCCTGCAAAGCAGGAGTCAGTACCAATGTTATGATTGTTGAGAGCGCACAACACCGTTAGCAGCTAGAGCTAACAGCAACATCCCATCCTCGAACAAGTGTGTTGGGGCAAAGTTTCTGGCGCAATACCAGGCAGCTGGGCGATGGATCTCCGCTCCTGTCTAAAACATGAGTAACCCATCGCGAAGTACAATCCCCTGGACATGGGATGCGGCTGAGACTCCACAGACTTGCTGCGGTCGCACCCGCAACACGCCCTTGATAACCCGCATAACCTCCCCAGGCATGTTCGAGCCATCGAAAGCGGACGCCCATGGCAAGGGCAAGGGGGCTGCAGTCTTGCTCGGATCGATGTTCAGCATCTTTGCGACCTTCCGAACAAAGGACTCTTGATCAAACAAAGTGTCCACCTTCGGTTCCAATATTTTCTGCAAAGTCAGCTTTGCACGACTCTTCGTCCCAGACTTCTGCACTTTTGCCGCCGGCCGCTTTGCAATCTTCTTTGCGCTGGCCTTTTTCCCCATGGCAACACACCGTCACCAAAACACTGAGGAGCACAAACACTGCATGGCAACAGCATCAGATTCGGAAACAGCTTGCCTGTGCAGAAACACTTTCGAGTGCGGCAGGCACACAGATCGCCCTTTCAGCTGTAACCCGGCCTGGGGACCGGCAACTCCATGTCACTGATGTTAGGCTCAGCCACCTCGAAATCATTTGTATTGTGACCAACACATCTCTTCACTCTTGGATTTATGATTCTTCTTTACACCTGATCCTTGCGAGTTCTGCTTCTGCTCGTGCCGGGTGTTGGGCTTGGAGTTCAAACCACACAAGTCAGGACCTGGAATCATAACACAGCTTTGCAGCCCTTGAATTCTGCCGCATGTGTTCGTACATACAAAGACAGGCCATATCGACTCAGGCTATCAAACTCGATAGTGTTTTTTGGGTCTTGCAATCTTACCTGTGCAGTGCCCACAGGGAAGCAGCAAGTACAGCTCTCAGCACCTTGCATCATCAACCTTTGTCGTTCTGTGGCCTCCGCACAAACAAGGTCTGAGGTTGCAAGCTTATTCTACAGAGGTACTGCATGGATGCTGAAAATTCATCAAGCCCTTATTATAACCTTGTTGACCTTCCACAGGCCTGCACAGCACCTCCCCAGACCTCCCCAGCACCTCCCC